CCTAGAGTAGGCGCCATGCCGTCGCGATCACTTCGTTCCCGCTCTGTCCATGCTTCTGTGACTCGGCTCAGTGGCTGGCAGCCAGTAGGAACTTCTCCCTCCAGACTTTCCATTCTGTCTACCTATCTCCTTCTTCACCACTCGAAGGATAAACTGGTATACTGTGGACCCTTCACGCTGTTTATTAATTACATCCCCAGCTAACTTTACCCATTGCCCCTTCTCGTTATCTGTGTTATACTCTGCCCTGAGCGACCATGAGAGTGGCTTAAATTCTCTCCTACCCCGTGCTTCGAATTGCTGCAAGCATTTAATGGATGTTTCATTTATTCGGTAAAAAGGTTATATTACTAGAGCCACTATATGGAGGGCCACGGGGTCACAGTCATTAGACTGTGGGGTGATACAAAGACACATACATTGTCCTTTTTTCGCGCCAGGTTAGCGACACACAATCCGATTGATTAAATGCTTGTCAACAGTGATGAGCGCCGGGCGGGAGGGCCTCACCCCTGAATCCAGAACTCTTGGCGGGGAGGCGAGGCGGCTGCCGATCGGTCAAGGTCAGGGAGTTTTTGAAAACAGCCCTGCAGCAAGAGTGGAGGACCCCGCCTCTACTTAAAATAGAAAGCAAGATTAATTTTCCAACTAAAGGATATATGTGGCAAAAAATTAGCCGGCATGGTGCGACTGGCTGTGAGGTCCAGCTACTCGGAGGCCTGAGAGCAGCAGGAGTCGCTGTGGCCAGCCCCAGGAGGTTCTGAGGTTGCTGTGAGCGTAGCCTTGATGCCACGGCACTCGTAGCCCCAGGGAACAGAAGAGCTGAGGCATTTCTGCCTCAAAAAAAGAGGGGGTGAATGTTCACGGATGGGCAGAGACAGAGCTCTCTGGGCCCTGCAATTGGGGGAGGTGGAGACTGTTGGGAGGCTGCCTCGGTGCCTGCCTGCGTCTGGCTCGGCGTGCTCAGCCCCAGGCCTCCCCGTCGGGCAGCTCCCTGCACTTTGCGGCCCTTTGTCTGGCTGGCTCCGTCCACTGCCGAAGTTCTCCCCGACTCTCTTGGAAGGGGCTGCTTTGGTTCTGACTGCCAAGCTCCCAGATTGCTGTGGGCCACACCTCTCTTCCACTAGACATCTCCTTCATTCTGCTGCTTGCCTTCGGATTCTTTCCTTGCTGGTGCTAATGACAGTTTTGCGATCATTTCTTTTTATCTGACTTTTTTTGTTTGTTTCTCACCTCCCTCATATGATGCTCCATTGAGGAAAGAACCGGACTGCCTTGTGTCGCCCTTAGGCGGCACGGTGCATGGCCTAGTGTGCACGCTGAGGCACTCGAGTGGACAAGCCACGTGAGACCCCTGTATAAAAAAAAAAAGATTACTTATTAGAAATTAAAGAGAAATTTTTTATTAAGTTGGTCTATATTATTAAGATAACTTTTTATGAAAAAATAACTGTTTTTCCAAAAGATAAAATGAATTTAGTGAGACAAGGACACTGTTGTACATTCTTGCACATTCTGTTGATGTTCTGGCTTATTAGACAGTTGAGTCTTATATCTGCTTCGCCTAATTCTGCTGGCTCTATCACATGCCACTGTAGCTGTCCTAGAAAGCGTCTCTGCTGTACACTCATGATCGAGAAAATGAGAATAAAAGCAAATAATGTCTCAGTATTTCACATAAAATACTTTTTGACCTTTTGGACTCCCTGAAAGGAACCTTGCGGATCCCCTTCCCTAGCTCCAAGCGAACCCAGGCCACACTTTTGAGAAGCTGCTGCGATGAAAGGAGAGATCTTAACAGCAAGATTGACATGGCTTGTGTCATTATTCTAATATTTATTGAACTTATGTTATTATATGCCACGATCTCTTTAATCTTCAAAATTCTATACAGTAGGCCATGAGTATCCTGTTTTGCACATGAGAAACTGCTGCAATAGATGTAACAAATAATTTTGCATATGTAAGATATGTGTCCTGTATATAATTTGTTCACAATGAAATTGGATGTTTTTATTTTGAAAAGGTGACCAAATGGCCTAATTATCAATATTATAGTTTTGGAGTATGGCTGACGCCAGTCCCAAATAGACGACCAATATAGTAATTATATCATAAGTAATTAGTATACACACACACACAACAGATATGTGTGTGTGTGTGTGTATTTTTTTAAATATGAATGGGGCATGAGAAGGAGGGTTCAATTTCCATTTTTTTTTTGAGACAGAAGTCTCACTCTGTTGCTCTGGGTACGAGTTACAGTGGTGTCAGCTAGCCACAAGCAACCTCAAACTCCTGGCTCAAGAGATCTCCTGCCTCAGCTCCCAGTAGCTGGACTATAGCTGTGCCACCATGCCTGCTAATTTTTTCTATTATTTTTATTTTGGCAAATATTATTAGGTAAAATTTTTTCTATTTTTTAATAGAGACAGGGTCTTGCTCTTGCTCAGGCTGGGTCTCGACCCCTGACCTCAAGCTGTCCTCCCACCTCAGCCTCCCAGAGAGCTAGATTACAGCGTGAGCCCCAAGCCAGCCTCTAATAAAAGTACCTCTACTACCTCTATAACTCAATTACTTTGAAATCTAACTTGATTTAAATTTTTTGAGCCATTTCCTTTTTAAGAGCTCATTGGAGTCTTAAAAAATTAATAAATCTTTTGTCTTTGAAGTTTAATTTCCACTTCTGGCATTTATCTATGGCTTATAAGAAATGCCAATCACTTGGGTAATTTGCACTAAAATAAAGTGCGGAAGTTGAAATAGAAGCAGCCAGAATAATAGTTCCTTGGTTTCTCTTGCCAACGCTTTGGACCACAATTCACAACCTCTCTGTTTCACATCTTCTTTGTTTTGGCACTTCTAAGAGAAAGTGTAATTACGCCGAGTCTTACTGAAGGCCCTGCTTTCTCAAGCTGCTGGTAACCACCAATTTCTCTTTACCTTGAATGTGGATATTTACGGATGTTTATGGACTTTAAAAAGTTTATAATACAATATTGCCGGCGTGGTGGCTCACACCTGTAATCTAGCACTTTGGGAGGCCAGGCGGAGATTGTCAAGGTCAGGAGTCGAAAACAGCCTGAGCGAGACCCCGTCTCTACTATAAATAGAAAGAAATTAATGACCAAGTAAAAATATATATACAAAAATTAGCTGGCATGGTGGTGCATGCCTGTAGTCCCAGCTACTCGGGGAGGCTGAGCAGTAGGATCGCTGAGCCCAGGAGATTGAGGTTGCTGTGAGTAGGCTGACGCCACGGCACTCACTCTAGCCTGGGCAACAAAGTGAGACTCTGTCTCAGAAAAAAAAAAAAAAAAAAAAGTGGGTAAAGGAATTCATGTTGCCTTTGACAAACCTACCTAAACCCTCATCTAAATAAGGAAACTTCATTTGGTTTCCAGAACTCTGCTCCTGGCAGGCAGAGATGAGCACAGTCACTTCTGTGATCTCAGAACCTGCCTGAAACATAGGGAGCGCTCAGCAAAGTGGCTGTATGAACGGCTTTGATGCCTGGCACTTGCATGCCACTGTTTTCATTCACAGAAACGTGTGCCTTGCCGGAGGGCTTTCATCTGGGTAGGTATTTACAGTGAGGGAGGAGCCTGCCATGCCTGTTAAGTCAAGAAATCTATATGCCTGTGTGCTGAGCCCTGAGTGACGTGGGAACGAGTATATGGACGAGTGAGCATCTCCAGCTGTCTTGCGTGTTCAGCTGAAGCTCTGTTAGTTTTTTTTTTTTTTTTTTGAGACAGAGTCTCAATCTATTGCCCTGGCTAGAGTAAGTGCTGTGGCATCAGCCTAGCTCACAGCATCCTCAAATTCCTGGGCTCAAGCGATCCTGCTGCCTCAGCCTCCTGAGTAGCTGGGACTACAGGCACGCGCCACCATGCCTGGCGAATTTTTTCTATATATATTTTTAATTGACCAATTAATTTCTTTCTATTTTTAGTAGAGATGGGATCTCAATCTTGCTCAGGCTGTTTTTGAACTCCTGACCTTGAGCGATCCACCCGCCTCGGCCTCCCAGAGTGCTGGGATTACAGGCGTGAGCCACTGCGCCCGGCCTCTGTTAGTGTTTGTAGCATGAGATGTCTGGCAGCCCACTCTCGTCTTGCCTTCCAAGGAGGGCCAGATAGTGTGGTAGGAAAAGCGTGAGACATGGACTCTGGGAATCTGGTTTAACACCTTTACTGTGTGTAGTTACCTACCCCAAATTTATTAACAAAGATTCTCTCCTTGACCAAACTTTAGTCAGGCTCCTTTGAGCCCTCTTCTCAATTAGGCTTTCAACCTTGGCCTGTGAGCAATGCAAAATCTCAGCAAAAATAATTTTGTCTACCTCTTATACTAAGAGACTTGAAAAGAAACTAGCTTGGTTTCTAACAACTCAAAGTAATGTCCCTAGCATGGCCCAGACTTTGGAGTTCCTGCCTGGGAAAGCTCAAGGCTGCCAGAAAAATTTATTGTTTGAGATTTGCCTGACCCAACACCTGCCTTGCCTAACAGTTCTCAGGAAAGAACTCCCACCTGTTTTTTTGTGATTTTCCACTGCCCGATTCTGCTTGTTCCTCCCCACTCCTCTCTCATTCTTTCCCTAAAAACACCTAGTCGTCTCTGCACAGTTTGGGGTCGAGCTCAGTTTACACCCAATGTCTCTCTCCCTCACTGCAGTAGTCTGAATAAAATCTGTCTTGTGTCTTTAACAAATGGTGGGCTCTGTTCCTCTTTGACACTACAGTAAGTACTTATTAACTCACCCAGTTTCAGTGGGCCTTAGCTGGGTAGTTCTGGCCCAAGGTCTGTCAAACTGTAGACTGGGACTGCAGTCACCTGAAGGCGTGGCCAGGGCTGGAGCGTCCACCCCAGAGGCAGCCCACTCGTGTGGCTGATGACTTGGTGCTGGCTCGTGGCAGGAGGCCTCAGTTCTCACCACATGAACCTCACCACAGGGCCACTGAATGTCCTTGTGATGGTGGCAGCTGGTTCTCCCAGAGTGAAGAGAGAGCAAGGTGAGGGCAGCAAAGTCTTTTGTGACCCAGCCCTGGAAGCCTGACACTGTCCTTTCTTCAGTATCCTGTTGATTTCACAAGCCACCCCCACCCCCTGTGGGAGGGGACTCCAAGGCAGGAACCATTGGGGGCTATTTTGGAGGCTGGCTGCTGTGACTCTGCTAGTGACCTGTGTCATGACCTTGGGCAGGTCACCCCAGCTCTCTGGGCTGGAGCAGTAAGGGTGGGCTAGGCTTGGCCTAGGAGGTCCCTCCTGCTTCCTGGGCCTGACTTCACCTCCTACGAAGTGAGAACGCGATTCGATGAGCGAAAGAGTTAATATGCCTACAGAAGCATTTCTCACAGAGAGTAACTCATCTGCCAGGGGCTGGCCCAATTCCTGGAACTGGGCTGCTTGTTTGGCGGGGGAGGGGTCGCAGCAGCTGTCTGGGTTTCCCACCATTTCTCCTCTCACTTCCGAGGTCGGGGAGATGGGAGGGGACATGAACAGGTGGCTCCAGACTAGGCTGGCTTGGATCAGCCCTGATACAAAGACACTAAGGATTTGGAAATGAAAATGCAAGTGGGGGAAATTGGCAGGCTGCCCTTGGAAGGAGCCGGTCCTAGTTTTGCTCCTTTTAGGAGTTTTGCACCTGATTAATGATTCTGTTCAAGATGGATTAAGCGGCTGGAGCCTTTCTCCATTTAGCAGTGCCAGCTCTTCCCTCCTCTCAGTACTTCTTTTCGCTAGTCCCAGTCTTGCCCACCCCCAGGGAGGTTCCTGGGGCAAACCACTGGTCTAGGATGCAATGGGTTTTCTCCTGGGTGGGCACAGAGGCTGGACAGCAGCCCCCAGACTCCTCCCTGGGGGCAGGGACTGAGGAGAGAGCAGGGCCACAACTGCAAGTGAGGGGAGCTCAAGTTCGAAAGCCTCCCGGGCTCCTGAATCGGAGCTTCTCTTGCCTGCTCACTTGCAGGAGGCAGTTCCTGGCTCTATTCTACCTTCCGCAGAGATGACTAGGAAGAAGAAGGGAGCAGGTAACCAAACCAAGAAGTTGAGAGGGAATTGCTGTTATTCAAGATAAAAAAAAAAAAAATCTGGAATATCCAACATCCTCTGCAGAGGTTAACTTTCCCCCCTTCTTCCGTCCTCTTCTTCCCTTCCTCAAGCAGTCTTTTTTTCTTTTTCTTTTCTTTTGACTAAAGGGGATACGGAGGGAGTGAAGGAGGGACCGAGGGACTGACTGACACCCCTTAAGCAGTCTTACACAGTGAATGGCAAAGCCTGGAAATCATGGTCTCAGAATTTGGACCGTCACTGCAGTGGATCCTGCCTCTTTTCTATTCTTCCCCTTCCTGCGAGAACATGCTTTTCACACTCGTTGATTAGTCATTTGAAAAACTGCTCCTCCTGTGTGACAGCTGTCAAAGTGAGCATTTGATTGGGCCTCAGTTGTCCTGGGGTGACAGAGAACAACACGGAGATGAGGGAGCTGTCTCCCCCTTCTGTGCACTCCAGTCCCGCCCCGACCCTTTTTAACTCCACTTTGCTCTTGGCTCTGCCTGCCCCTGTCCGCGGCCGGGGCCCCCTAGTCTCCCCTGCCACGTTCCAAGTTGTTCTTTATTCAGCTGGGACCCAGGGATCTCCCTCCAGAGAAAGCAGATCGTTGCTGGCTCCTCCGAGTCCCGGGGTGCCAAGTCCTGCGAGGCCGCGAGAGGCGTCCCGGCACAATGGCCCTTTATACCTCTCTGTGTGCTCTTTCCTGGCCCCAGCTGCCCCCATGCCCTGGTTTTCCTTAGTCTTTTCTTCAGTATTTTTTTTCCAGTTGACTTAGTTATTACAGTACATGGACCTGGGGGGAGAGGCTCTGGAGGCCGGGCCTGGTGCATGGATTCTGAGAGCAAGTGTGACTCCCTGGCCCCACCACGACGTCACCAAGAGGTGATGGGTCACATTCCTGCAGAGAGGGCCCTGCGCTCACTCTGCTTTCATGGCAGGGGACAGATGCAGGGCCTGTCTCCTGATAGCTGGCTTCCCTGCCAGGGTGCTGGCCCCTGCCAGCCTTGGACGGTTCCACGAACAGCAAGCACTGAGCAACTGAGTGGTGGGGGCGAGGCCATCATTCTCAACTCCAGCGTAGGCATGAAGTACAATAAATAAGATTGGCACATACAAAAGAGAAAACTGCTGCAATTAAAGGAAAGGGGCCGATGTTGGAGTGGATGAAAGTAGAGCTGCCAAGATCAGGGACTGGGGGAGGAGGTTTTCATCCGTGGGTAGGATCATGGTGCTGCCACGTGTCACTGTCCTGCCCCGGCCAGCGAGAGCCTCGCCTGCAAGGCAAGACAGATGCCAGCCGGCTATCCCCTCACAGATTTGACTTCCTCCTTCGTTCTTGTTCACGAGGGGTTACTAGAACTTTCAAGAGCTACATAACGTAATGTTGACATGAAACATCTGCTTTCAATTTTTAAAAAATTTTAAACTAAACCCTTTAAATGTATAATCAGATGACTGGACTTTCATTTTTAAGGTTCCGGATTGCACGGGGACAACACAGAAGTCAGTATGGACACTGAAGGTTGGCCAGAACCAGGACGGCAGAATTCACTGCCACCGTGGTCTCCCCCTCATTTGCCTACGCCGCAGTGCGCATGTGCAGTGCGTGTTGCACGAGGGCTGGGAGCGGGTGACCGCTGTAGACTGCAGTTGGCAGCCTTAGAAGGCGGAGGGTGACTGGGAGCACACTTCAGGTGTGACACTGCTGCTGAAAGCTCCTCCAGAGTGTTAGACACAACAAAAAGCACCACTGCCACCGCCACTCACCAGGACTGGAAAGGTGAGTCTCGCCCAGGTTTGGGAGGTGGTCCCTGCTGAGGGGTTGATCCTGGTGAGTGCTGCGCCATGTTGCATATTAAAATATTTCAATACATTTCTGCCCATCGTCAAATAGATGCAGCTCCACCTGCCCCCACCCCCCAATATCTGCTCTGGCTCCTCTCTAGGGATCTCCTGGAGCTTCCTAAAACCCAGATGCTGAAAGGCTAAGTCTGGCATAGCTGGGGTGCAGGACCCTGTTTCACAGTGACAGCTAGAATCCGTTGTTAAACATTTTGAATATTATCCCCGCTTGTACTGAAGACTGTTATATGTGTTGGCAGAGCTATCTGGAAGGAGCTTTGCTGTGGCAGTGCTTGAAGGGTGGATCCATTGAATCTGAGAGCGAGTTCTGGTACATGGCAGGGGGAGGGCCCGTGGCATTAAACCCATTCCTAGACATTGAAATTTGATTTATTAACATTGGCAACAGTTACAGGCCATCTTGCCAACGAAGTTTCTGAAATTGAAATCACATGAAACTTTCCCTAGTTTCTGCTAGTGCCACATACGCCCTTTTCTTTCTAAAGCAGCAAATTCACTTAAAAATAATTAAGAAAAGATTGATGGGATTTTGGAATTGTAATGAAAAATATGATCTCATTAGTAAGTCATGAGTCAGGGCCAGGCACTCTGTCAGATGTATGCACTTCTGCATAATTAGAAGAAGCTGATGCAAGGAGAGCTAATAATGGCATGCATTTAAAAATTAAAATGGTTTCCCTTTATACTTTTTTGGCTGTGCTGAAATTCTCCCTTTTGCAAAGATTCAGAAAGAGATCTCTTTCAAAAGAACCCTATCAAATGCAACTGAATTGATGAAAAAGAAAATGGTGGTAAAAAGAATTGAAAAGACTAAATGGATTTCCACTAAATCCATTGTGAATTTTCACTTAGGCTATAGTCTGGTGTGAGAACTGTTTTCATTCACTTATTTTTTAACACAGGGTCTTGCTCTGTCACCTGGGCGTCATCATAGCTCACTACAACTTCCAACTCCTGGGCTCAGTGGTCCTCCTGCCTCAGACTCCTGAGTAGCTGGGACTACAGGTGCATGCTACTGTACTCAGCTAATTTTTGTAATTTTTGTAGAGAAGGGGTCTTGCTATGTTGCTCAGTCTCATCTTGAACTCCTGGCCTCAAGTGATCCTCTTGCCTCGGCCTCCGAAAGTGCTGTGATTATAGGCCTGAGCCACCTTGCTTGGCCTCACGCACTTATCTTCAAGAGGATAAATAACACACCTGAAGTGAGCATATTTTGAAAAGAGCTACTAGATCAATCATGTAAATTCTATATAACCTCTGATTTAAACCATAGAATAAAATTTTTAACCCTTTGCACTAGGATGTTGAGTGTGGATAATGTCGCATGGATGATGAGAAAAAAGCCAGCGAGTCCAAAGGGTAAAAATACTCTACAGAAGAGGCATACAAGCTTTTAAAAAGCTACGATGAGTTGGGGTGAGACAAACTGGACAGCCCCCTTACCTCTGCCACTCCAGCTGGGTGACCCTTGGCTGACTTCACTTGCCTAAGCCTCTATTTACCCATTTGTAAAATGGGGATAAGGAACTGACCTCTCAGATTTATTGAGAAATGACGTAACATTTAAAGAGCAGGCATTCATTAAAAAGTATTTATCTTTTCCCTTTCCCTTAGGCACCTTACTTTGTTGACATTTGAAAGTGGAACATTTCCCCTCCCTCAATCCAGAAGAAACATTTGTTGAGAGTCTGTGATGTGCAAATGTAGCAGAGGGTACAAAGATGAGAAGAATGTCTTTGAAGAAATGTATAAATTTGGTGCAGAGGAAGGGGAAGGAGATGGACAAGGGTGCCTCATTGATACACAACTCAGAATGGGCTCGATGCCACAGAAGTCCAAAGACACCCTTGGGAAGTGGCCAAGAGATGAATGCATGAGGATGCTCAGCCATAGGCACCACTATGTCCATGGTGAAAATATGGAAATCCTTCTGCCCTGGGCCTCTGACTGCCCCATGCCACTGTGGCCCCCTCCCCTGGAACCCACAGGCCTCCCCCAGTCCCAAAACAATGGGTTAACCCCTGCCATGGCAGGGACCCTGGAGGCCTGGAGGCCTCCTCTACCTACAGCCAGAGTTCTGAGTAGGTGGTACCTATGGTGGGTGTCAGTGGTAAAATGTTTTCAGTGTCACCCCTGGCTGTGTGTGAGGGACAGGGGCTCTGGAAGCTTGCTGGTGTATGAAGATGAAGTAAACCTAATAGAAGAATGGGGTTTTGACAAGTAGAAATCAGAGAAGGTGTTCTAGGGAGGAGGAATAGTATGAACAAAAACAAAATAAGAAATTGATTCTTGAACAGTAAGTGGGAACTCTGCATATTGTAGAAGGTCTTGATCATTAAGTGAGGAGATTTAACTTTATTTGGTTGGGAGTTACCAAAGATTTTGGAGCAGGTAAATTATGGAAGATTCATTTTGAAGTCATGCATAAGAAATGACATGGAGGCAGAAAAATCAGTTGGAAGACTCTGCAGTCCAGGAAAGAAATCATAGACAGCTGAATCAGGATGATGGTAACGGAAAAAGAAAGGAAAAAAGGAATGTAAGAGACATACCTCAAGTAGACACTATAGAACCTAACAACTGACTAAATGTCCCGGCCCTCACGAGCTCCCCAGAGACAGAACCTGACTCTAATGTCACTCTTCTGGACAATATCCCCAAAGAGTTTGAACCTGCTAGGAACCTGATATTAGGCCAGGTAATTCCACCACTCTCCCCATCCCTGTCCTTCTCTCCCCCACCCAGAATGTAAACCCCTTAACTGTGTCCTCACTCTCCTGCTGGTGTATGCTTCCCTTCCCTTGACAAATTTTTGTGTCAGGGCCCCTCTTGTCTTTCTTTCTTTTTTTTTTTTTTTGAGACAGAGTCTCGCTTTGTTGCCCAGGCTGGAACCTCAGACTCCTGGGCTCAAGCAATCCTCCTGCCTCAGCCTCCCGAGTAGCTGGGACTACAGGCATGGGCTACCATGCCCGGCTAATTTTTTCTATATATATTAGTTGGCCAATTAATTTCTTTCTATTTATAGTAGAGACGGGGTCTCGCTCTTGCTCAGGGTGGTTTTGAACTCCTGACCTTGAGCAATCCACCCGCCTCGGCCTCCCAAGAGCTAGGATTACAGGCGTGAGCCACAGCGCCCGGCCAAAGCCTTTTCTTAATGGAAGGGTTCCCTCCAGAGCTGTAGGGTAGAGGGGGTTTGTTTATACAAACCCCATATAACAAGATATATGGGGTTTATATAACCCCATATAACATATAACAAGAACCTGAGATCAGTGTTCTCAGTCTTTGTTACCATCGGCCTTTTCAAATCATCACACCTTACCTTAGTATAAAACTCCTTGTGCTCTTTGAGGGTTGGCCTTTCAGTTTTATTAGTTTTTACCTCTCCCCCTCCATGCCATCTGCTTGAATCTGTGTCACTTCTATAATAATTGAAGGCTCTGGCAAAGCTAGGTGCAGCCTTTCCTTGTGGCCCATGTCCTCTATCATCCTGACTGACATCAGTGCCCATTTGAATAATCTGTGTACAACTCTAGCCTCAAAGTTTCCTTCATCTCCACTCCCAGTGTTCACTTTCTTTCTCTCAGCCACCTGTTCCAGTGGTGCACCTAAACTTTGGCATCACTGGAACTGTGGACCCGTACAAGGAATACCACTCTCAAACCCCTCCTTATCTTTGTACTTCCCAGAGACCAGCACCGTCACCACCACCTCCACTACAATGTTGAACACAAGTGGTGAGGGTCAGCGTCTTTCCTTGTTCATAATTTCTAAGGCAAAATTTTCAACATTTCTCTATTAAATATGTTCGCATAGGTTAATTTTACCAAACATTTTAATGCATTTTTTGAAATAATTTAATTTTTTCTCCTTTGTTAGTGTGTTGAATAATATTGCTTTTTAGTAAACCAATTTAACATTCAGAGTATACACTCAAATTGATCATAATGCATTAGCTTTTTAATATCATTTTAGAATCAGTTTGGCAATATTTTATTTGGCATTTTTGCATCTATGTTTATGAATGATATTGGCCTGTAATTCTAAACTTTTTCATGTAATACCTTTGACGGATTTTGTTAAGAAGTTATGGTAGCTTCATATAATGAGTTGAGTAATGTACTTTTTCTCACTTCTCTGGGAGAGTTGTGTGAGATGGGTTTTATTTCTTCCTTAAATATTGATAGAATTTATAGGAAAAGCCATCTGAGCTTAAGAGTTTTCATTAGGGGAAGGTTTTAAATTATAGATTCAACTTCTTTTATAATTATAGGACAATTCAGGTTTTCTGTGTCTTTTTGTGTCAGTTTTGTTTTTCACCAAAATTTTCAAATCTTTTACATAAGTTATTTAAAGGATACTTCTTGTTATTTTTTTGAATGTCTGCAAGAACTGTAGTGATAGCTCTTTTTTCTATCCCAATGTATTTTTTTGATTTCCATTCTCTCTTTTTTTCCTTATTGAGCAGTCTCATAAGAGATTTATCAACTTAATAAATCTTTTTAAAGAACCAATTTTTGGCTTTATTAATTCTCCACTTTGTGTTAGTTTTCTATTTTATCAATGTATTATCTTATCCATACAAGTGTTATTTTCTTCCTTGTACTTTCATTTAGTGTTTTCAGCTACTCCTGTTCTATCTTTTGAGATAGATGCATAACTCATTAACTTTCAGTCTTTCTTCTTTGCTAATATAGTATTTAAGGCTGTAGAATTTCCCCCCACATAATGCTTAAGCTGTATCCCACTAGCTTTATATATAATATTTTCATTATCATTCAGTTCAAAATATTTTATAATTTCCACTGTTTTCTTTTTTGTTAATACATGAGTTATTTAGAATTATGTTTCTTACTTTCTATCAATATGGAGGTTCTATTTTTACCTATTTATTATTTTTAGAGAGAGGGTTTTGCTCTGTTACCCACATTGGCGTGCAGTGGTGTGATTATAGCTCACCGCAGCTTTGACTTCCTGGCCTCAAGCAATCCTCCCACCTCAGCCTCCCAAGTAGCTGAGACTACAGGTGCATGCCACCACACCCGGCTAGTTTTTTCTGTTTTTAGTAGAGACAGGGTCTCAGTCTTGCTCAAGCTGGTGTTGAACTCCTGAGCTCAAGAGATCCTCCCACCTTGGCTTCCTAGAGTGCTAGGATTATAGGCGTGTCCTCAAGGTTGGAAAACATATGACAAGTGGATTCAACTTTAAGGCTGAAGAAGATTCATGACTCTGTTCAGTAATGTCCCCTAGCTGGAGTTAGGTGTTTGGAATGCTTCTTTCCTCAATTTGGCAAAATAAGGAGACAGAAAGAGATATTCACTGGGATTACAACAGACACTATTTGCTGAGTCAGACACTGTGTTAATCACTTTACATACACTGTTGTATTGTAATCTTCACAGCATTTCCATGAGACAGATATTATTATTATTGTTTCTTTCTTTTTCTTTTTTTTTTTTTTTTTTTGAGACAGAGTCTGGGTTTGTTGCCCAGGCTAGAGTCAGTGCCGTGGAATCAGCCTAGCTCACAGCAACCTCAAACTTCTGGGTTCAAGCGATCCTTCTGCCTCAGCCTCCTGAGTGGCTGGGACTATAGGCATATGCCACCATGCCCGGCTAATTTTTCCTATATATATATATTAGTTGGCCAATTAATTTCTTTCTATTTATAGTAGAGACGGGGTCTCGCTCAGGCTGGTTTTGAACTCCTGACCTCAAGCAATCCGTCCGCCTCAAACTCCCAGAGTGCTAGGATTACAGGCGTGAGCCACCACGCCCAGCCCTACCTACGGTTTTATATTTAACAAATGGCAGGATGGGTGTGGTGGCTCACGCCTGTAATCCTAGCACTCTGGGAGGCCAAGGCGGGAAGATCACTTGAGCTCAGCAGTTCCAGACCAGCCTGAGCAAGAGTGGGACCTTATCTCTACTAAAAACAGAAAAAAAATCAGCTGGGCATAGTGGTGGGCGCCTATATTCCCAGCTACTCAGGAGGCTGAGGCAGGAGGATGGCTTGAGTCCAGGAGTTTGAGCTAGACTGATGCCACGGCACTCTAGCCTGGGCAACAGCAAGACTCTGTCTCAAAAAACAAAACAAAATAAAACAAAGAAACAAATGGCAAAGCTGGAATTCAAACTCTTTTCTTTTCTGGCTTAAGCCTGTGCTCTTAACCACTACTCCAAATTCCCAACTTTTATAGACCATATTTTTTTAAACTTTAATCTGAATTATTAAAATCTTTTTGTAGAATTTAGTAACTGGGGAAAATAACAGGGAAAATATTTCTGGACATAAGAGCCAAGTCGTTGCTCCTAAAATCATACTACACGACCTTTGATTTATTTGGAATTGGCAATTGTGAGGTTAAGAGAATTGGAAGGGGCCGGGCATGGTGGCTCACGCCTATAAAACTAGTTCTCTGGAGGTGGGAGGATTGCTCAAGGTCAGGAGTTCGAAACCAGCCTCAGCAGTAACAAGACCCCATCTCTACTAAAAATAGAAATAAATTAATTGGCCAATTAAAAATATATAGAAAAAATTAGCCGGGCATGGTGGCACATGCCTGTAGTCCCAGCTACTGGGGAGGTTGAGGTAGGAGGATCGCTTGAGGCCAGGAGTTTGAGGTTGCTGTGAGCTAGGCTGACGCCATGGCACACTAGCCCGGGCAACAGAGTGAGACTCTGTCTGGAGGTATGGCAGGCAGACAGGAGATCTTTGTCCCAGACCAAGCCATAATTCCAGAAATGAAGTGGATGAGCCAGGCCCTGCTGATGGTGAACACAGTGGACTCTGGGAACGTAGCTGAAATCACTGTCTTTGGATGGCTCCGTGTGCACAGTGGGGTGAAGAGCATGCTTCTGTGCTTGGCGTGATTTCACAGAGAACATCATGCCCAAGCTGAGAAGATGAAACATCGTGAGGGGCACTTGAAGGCTTGTATATCGGGTCCCCAGCATCCCACTGCTTAAGGCAACATAACTATCAGAAGCATTATGAGAACAGTCTTGCTTCTGCTACTAAAGTTGAAGAGAAGCAAGTACAGTATTCCTAAATCTCTGCGTTCCTCTTTCCTGTGCCTTGATGGATAGTGGTTTATTTTATTGCAAAATTGAGTTTGTAGAACTACTCTAAAAAAGAGATGAATTTCTATTTTGTCCAATGGCATAGAGATCTTTGCTCACTTAAAGGAAATTTATAGCAGAAAAAAGAAAATTGGGAGGGATAGTTAGGGAGCTGTAAACCAATTTAATACTCCAGCAATCAAACCAATTATCCCTCTTCAGTTTTTACCAGGACAAGGCCAGAAGTTTGTCAAGGGATCGTTCATTCTTATGCTAGCAAAACAAACCTCCCACCACTCCCTGGAGAACAAGTCAGCTTCAGAAGGGAAAAGATATGAGTTCTTCTGAGCTTTCAAAGAACTTAAGGGGGAGGAGGGGAGAAAAAAGCTTCCATAAAATGAAGGAAAAAAAAAGTCTTTGGATAATTTGATTGTTAAATAATTGTTAAAGTGATTGTACCAAAGTTAAAAATCCCTAAGACTTTTGAACATTCCTGTTCTGAGAGCTAACAATATTAAACATATGCTTGGACTATAATTGTTAGTATTTTAATTATAGGTTAACGATGGTGCCTGCATGCAGTGTTTCCTGCTTGACAAAATTGCGTTATAAGTAGTATGGTGCTGGTAGATAGTTGAAAACAAACCAAGATGACTGCATTAGTGCCCTTGTGATAGCCATTATCTGAGGAAGAATAGTCACAACCTTATCCTTTATCGCTAATTCAGCATGTGACTTTAGGCAAACTACCCAGTTCTCTATGGGTCTCAGTTCCTTTAACTATAGCATAAGGACTGGAATAGATGACTTCCAAGTATTTCTTCTAGCTAGGAGAATCCCTAATACTAAGAGTGATATTTATTTGTTAAGTTATTCATCTCCTCCTCATTAATTAATCCCTTCCTTCAAGGAGTTTACATTCTAGTGGAACTAAGCTTTTACCAAAGTAGGGCTGACTTTGTGGACGTGTTGACCTTTGTATGTGACTTGACGCAGTAGTAAGAGGCCATCTACTCAAAAATATAGCTCCTAAATTTTGTATTTAATGTTACCATGCTACTTAGTCCTTTGGCTTAAAGCAGCATCTCCCAATGTGTAGTCTTTGGAAGGTTTGCTTATTCATTGACAGATGTTCATTGAGTGCCCACTGGGCACCTTGTTATGCACTGCCTTCACAAAACTTCCATGGTCAAGTAAGTTTGGGAAATATTGGAATAAACAAGGCTGAGACTTCTTATACTCCTTTATGTAATATGACTAATGCCCTTCAGAACTTCTCACCATGGAGACTTTATTTTGGAGGAAGAGTTTGTAGATCCACTGTCCTGCAGTATACATTTGGGTTAAAGGGAAGAGCCCTCCTAAAATCTAAGTATTTTGTGGGGTGGGAAGTGGGAAATAAATTGGAAAGCTATTTATGCATGTATTGTTCAACATCTTAAGTAGAATTAGAGTATTAAAACTCTATCAAAATATTCTTCCCAGGCCAGGCATGGTGGCTTACGCCTGTAATCCTAGCACTCTGGGAGGCCGAGGTGGGAGGACTGCTTGAGGTCAGGAGTTCGAGACCAGCCTGAGCAAGAGCGAGACCCCATCTCTACTAAAAATAGAAAGAAATTAATTGACCAACTAATATATATATAGAAAATATTAGCCGGGCATGGTGGCGCTTGCCTGTAGTCCCAGCTACTTAGGAGGCCGAGGCAGAAGGATTGCTTGAGCCCAGGAGTTTGAGGTTGCTGTTAGCTAGGCTGATGCCATGGCACTCTAGCCCGGGCAACAGAGTAAGACTCTGTCTCAAAAAAAAAAAAGAAAAATATTCTTCCTAGAAACTTGATTTAAGGTAGTCTCTTCCTTGAGATGGCATCCAATTCAGGATAGAATTAGAATATTAGATTAAAGTTAATTATTAAGGCCTTGGAAAAATGGGGTTGGAGCTCACCCTAACCAATGAATATCATCTTATTTCTTAGCAACAAGACTGTTATTTCTGTGTTGGTGATGTCTCTGTCCCCAGTCTGCTGGAAGAGAATGGGCTGAAATATACTAATTGGAAGAAGTGGAAATTACAGGAACTTTGAAATGGAGTAGATAAAAATGCAACCAGTGCTAATCAAAAGCTAAGTATTCTCCACTGGCAAGATGACCACCTGGGGGTGTGAGTGACAGAAAGCCAGAGCAGTAGAGAGGGGCATGAAGGACCAGGGCAAGGCCCAGATGCCACTGCAGGGAGGGTGAGGTTTTCCAAGAGGTGGTTTTCTAGAGTGTTTGTGATTAGTCAATAAATGTTTTTGGGTTTTCACCATTTTGTTTACCAGATGAAGGGCTGCCAGGGGAGCCCTGGGGCTCTGGGCCACAGTAATGACTGCAGTTGAGAGAGTGACAATTTACATTTGTGTGGCACTCCCAGAGGACTCAGAGCTCAGGGAGGAGCGTCCTGACTGCATTTTCATGTTAGATGATCAGATCTAAATGAAGGAAAGGGAAATGCACAGAATGTGGAAGGGAGGCCTCTTGATAATGGGGATGGGGATGGCTGCTTCAATTCTGAGCTTCTGGACAGGCTCCTCTGCAGGTTTGCACTCGGTTGCTTCAGCAGCAGCCTCATTTGTGGCTTCCAACCTGATTGCCCCCATTTCTTACCTCGTAGGGATCGCTCTGTCAAAAACTTTTCCCAGGACTTGAATTAAGATAATTTTTTGAAGCAAGAATTGTTCGTGTCCTATCAAAAAAAAAAAAAAAAAAGGAAAAATAACAAAAAGAGGAAAAAAAGATAATCTTTTCCTTGAGATGGTACCCATTTTCAGGAGAAAAATAACGTAAGAACTAGCAAGCTCTAGCTATCACATGCAGGCCCTGAAAGACAGGATGGGTCACAAGCGTAACACACTCCCACCTAGAAGTCACAATGTTTTAGCAGTGACTCTGTATTTACCTTTCCATTAGCCTAATTTGAGATAGGCACAGAATACTATCTAGGGTCTGGGATTTACCATCCACATTTCCGTAGGTTGTTGACTATGTACCTTTACATAGAACAATGTGGCCAAAGATAGATGCCCAGAAGTAAAACCAGTGCTCCCTTTGTCTGTCTTGGACACCCCGCTGCCTCAGGAGTTCCCCCAGGGAGTCTATTAGTCTGGTGGAAAGAAGAGGAAGAAATATGCATGGCTGATAAAGCTTTTGATCAGGCAATTAAAGCCAGAAATATCAGCATGGACAGAAGTTAGAAGAAAATAAGTCTTAAATTACAAAGAAACATTATGTTCATCTAATCTGGGCTTCCACCTGATGCAGTCATCTCTGTGCCGCGTGCAGCTCCTGCTTGAATCCATTTATCCAAGGGAGTCACCACCTCCCAGGCAGCTCCTGCTGGTGGTTAAACCGTTCCTTCTTAGATTAAGCCTACATTTACTTCCTGATAACTTTTACCCTTTGGAATAATAAGAGCAACTACATTCCTTTTTTCTTCTACACCATTTCTATGCCTTTCTAACAGTTGAAATCAGTCACTAGTCCCTATAAATATTCTCAGACGATGGGAAAGTCAGAAGGAAGAAAATAGGTAGTACTGTCCTGAGTCAGTACACTCAAGGTTAAGGCATTCCTTCCTCACCCCCAAGAGGAAAAGAATTCTGGCCTCTCTGTCCTGAGGTTATGTACCTGATCAAACCTTTTAAGAGACACAAGTAGTGAATTTATAGTGCTACCATTTGGACAAAATAGTATAATTTCTTCTCTATTCTTGTCAAACCTTTCAAGTAAATGCTATTTTATGGGCTAGGTATTGTGGTTCATGCCTGTAATTCTAGCACTTTGGGAGGCTAAGGTGGGAGGATCACTTGAGGTCAGGAGTTTGAGATTGACCTGAACAACATAGTAAGACCCCCCCTCTACAAAAAATAAATTAAAAAAATTAGCTGGGCATGGTGGTGCATATCTATAGTCTTAGCTACTCTGGAAGCTGAGGTGGGAGCATCACTTGATTGAGCCCAAGAGTTTGAGGCTGCAGTGAGCTATGATCTCACCATTGCACTCTAGCTTGGATGCCATCTCTTAAAAAAAAAATAAAGATTATATTATGAAAAATTCTAAAAACGGAAGAAGGCAAATATTTTCAAAGTATATGGTAAGGGTATATCATCCTTAATGAAGTGGTCTCTTAAGTCTTGCTTTTTAAACAAAAAATTAGTTAAGACACCCCCCCCCCCGCTTTTTTTTTGAGACACGGTCTTGCTCTGTCTTCTAGGCTAGAGTGTAGTGGTGTTGTTATAGCTCACAGCAATCTCCAACTCCTGGGCTCAAGTGATCCTCCTGCCTCAGCCTCCCTAGTATCTGGGACTATAGGTGTGAACCACCATGCCCAACAAGACTATTTTTTTAGAGCAGTTTTACATTCACAGCAAAATTGAGAGGAAGATATAGAGATACCCCACATACCCAAGCTTCCAAACACTCACAGGATTCCCCATTATCAACATCCTCTCCCACCCCCAGAAATCCATTTCTTACAACTGATGAACCTACACTGACACATCATTATCTCCCAAAGTCCATAGTTTCTATTAGGGTTCACTTTTGGTTTTGTACTAAATCTTTTTTTTAATGGGCAAATAATAACTAATACTTACGAAGTGCTTACCACAAGCCAGGCACTGTTCTCAGTGCTTTGCATGTACTATAAACTCAGTTAATTCTTACAGTGACTCTAGTAGTTCCACGTTATCCTCATTTTACAGACAGGGAAACTGAAGTGCAGTTATTTGTTCTAGCTCAGACAGCTGGTGAGTGGGACAGCAGTGGAGCCCAGGTGGTCCGGGCCAGCCTGTACCTGTGCTCCTGACCTCCTCACCGTGCTGTCTCTGCACAACAGGGACACAGCAAAGGAAGAGAAGCGGTGAGGGGAAAGGAGAAATCTCAGCAGCTGGGCAAGCAGAGTGAGGTGCTGTGAGGCGGCAGAGCAGTGGCACTTTTCTGTGCTGCCAGAGCTTTGCAGCCTTTCTGCAGGTTAACCTGGGCACTGAAAAGTGCGCATGTATTTCGACTCAGATGTGCTATGAGAAGCCCTTATCCTGAGGAGATAAATAAGATTGCACACGAAGGTTTAGTTGCAAAGACATTCAGAGTCATTATAGTAGAGTGGCTGTGGTAGAAAAAAGTTGGAAAAAAACTCAATTTTCAGCCTGAGGAGATTGGTTAAATGAAGCAGGACACATTCATAAAGTGGGATGCCAGGCAGTCAGTAGAAAAATCTACAGAAGTTTTGCAAAAGGAAAATTGCAAAAGAATTTTTAATACATGGTAATATGTTTGTGATATAAGTGGGGAAAAATAGGTTTCAATATAAGAATAAAACAGTATTTTCTCATTTTGGTAAATAAGACAATTATTTATATATACACTGAGAAAGATATATGCCATGTTGTACCTAATGATTATCTCTAAGTAATAGAGTAATGCTGATTTTAATTTTTTTCTTTGAGTCTATGGTATTTAAATTTTTTTCCAAATTTAATACATAAAAATTTAGTAACATGAGAATAAAAGTTATTTTTAACTAAAAATAGCAAGCAGAAAATTTCAAAATAAATAACCTATTGGGACTTCACTCTGAGAAAAAATAGCCTATCTCCCATGGCATCTTGTTGTTAAAGTCCACAGGGGGTCTCTGAAAATGATGATTATAGTTTCCTTTCATGATTAAAACAAAAATCCCATCAGAACACAGTCATTTTCTTGTAAAAAAAAAAAAAAAAGAAAGTTGTTGGTAAGGGAATCACAAGTAGAAATAGTTTTTTGGGCCAGGCAAGGTGGCTCACGCCTGTAATCCTAGCACTCTGGGAGGCCGAGGCGGGCGGATAGCTTGAGCTTAGGAGTTTGAGACCAGCCTGAGCAAAAGCGAGACCCTGTCTCTACTATAAATAGAAAGAAATTAATTGGCCAACTAAAAATATATAGAAAAAATTAGCCAGGCATGGTGGTGCATGCCTGTAGTCCCAGCTACTTGGGAGGCTGAGGCAGGAGGATGGCTTGAGCCCAGGAGTTTGAGGTTGCTGTGAGCTAGGCTGATGCCACAGGACTCTAGCCCAGGCAACAGGAGTGAGACTCTGTCTCCAACAACAACAAGAAAAAAACCAAAGAAATAGTTTTTCACTTTCCTTAAATTTGTCCGTGAAAATTTTATACCCGAGTATGGAATCTCTAGAGCGGAATAAGAATATGTTTGATTTCTGTCTCAACCAGCATTTCCAAAGAAGTCAAGACATTTATTGAAGTTTATGTCTCTGTCACCCCTAGGACAACCCCTTTTATGGGGACTTAGGGTCTCTTGGGAAATTCTTTGTAATCAGATGTTTTCTTCCCTTATCAGATGTCAGCTGCTCAACTGCACACAGTCTGTTCAGTTAATAAGGCTCTCTAATGCTTCAGCCTCAGCTCCAGGGGCTTGTTTGAAGCTGAAGCATGTGGGTGGCTCTTAGTGGTCACGTTAGTGTCAGGGTGTGCCTTGAGCACTGGCAGTTCAGCCCAGGTTTCCACTGACCCCATCAGGAAGGGCTGATGGAAGTTTTCTGGACATCTTGAGGCAACAGGATGCACACTGGGTCTGTGCTGGGGCCTGTAGGTAGAGTGCTCTTTCACGGAAGTGTCCTTGGGGACTCAAAGGATGTCCAGACACCGCTCTCCCTCACCAGGGCATGAACCTCTGGAGTGCTAAAGGACTGTAACTCCTAACTCTTCTAACTCCTAACTCCTCTCTTTCCCTAGGGCACCTCTTTTATTTTCCCCTCTGGGTCTTAGGAGGATGGCATTAAACGTGTATGTGGGCCGGGCGCCGTGGCTCACGCCTGTAATCCTAGCACTATGGGAGGCTGAGGAGGGCGGAGGTTGAGGTCAGGAGTTTGAAACCAGCCTGAGCAAGAGCGAGACCCCATCTCTACTATAAATAGAAAGAAATTATTGGCCAACTAATATATATATATATATATATAGAAAAAATCAGCCGGGCATGGTGGCGCGTGCCTGTAGTCCCAGCTACTCGGGAGGCTGAGGCAGGAGGATTGCTTGAGCCCAGGAGTCTGAGGTTGCTGTGAGCTAGGCTGACGCCACGGGCACTCACTCTAGCCTGGTCAACAGAGTGAGACTCTGTCTCAAAAAAAAAAAAAAAAAGGTGTATGTGCATGTGTGTGTGTTTTTTAAATCCCAAATATGGTAATTTAAAGTCATTCTTCAATTGAATGAGTTTTTATAAGCCTTAGGTAACTATTAATACTATTTGATAACTCTGGGCAGGAAAGTAAAATCTACAGATTATATAAAGTCTGCTTTTTGGCAGATTATCTGAATGGTTTTCTTCTTGCATTTCACCCAGCGGTAACCTATTCCCTGACCCTGCCTTCCTCCCAGCTGGCCCAGATCGCCCTTTCCCGTTTCCACCGTGGCACTGCCACCTGCAGTGCCTCCAGCTGGAGCCTGGGCCTCTCTCCTCGCACCCCAACTCCCACCCCAGAGGCAGTCTTGCCAGCGCTACCTCCAAAACACCCTCCTCTGTATTCACAGTGATGTTGCCTGAATTGAAGCTTTCTTGTTTGTGCTTTATCCACTCATAAAATATGAGTTTTAAGGCCAACCTTGAAGACAAAGAAACTGCTTCTAGTTCATCTTTGGAACTCAAGAGTTAGTCCTGGCCGGGCATGGTGGCTCACGCCTGTAATCCTAGCACTCTGGGAGGCCAAGGTGGGAGGATCGCTTGAGCTCAGGAGTTCGAGATCAGCCTGAGCAAGAGTGAGACCCTGTCTCTACTAAAAAAGAAATAGAAAGAAAATTGGCCAAGCAACTAAAAATGTAAAAAATTAGCTGGGCGTAGTGGCATATGCCTGTAGTCCCAGCTACTTGGGAGCAAGACAAAAGGAAAAAGGAAAGGAAAAAAGGAAGGAAAAATGAAAAGAAAGGAAAGGGAGAGACCACATCCCTGTGTTCTATAACTCACGCAATATTTGTCTCATTACAGCAGGACCCTGTGCTAGGTTGTGTGTTCAGCAAATAAAGCCCCAAGACAAGAAATAAGCTGGCTGGTGTGGACGTAGGTATGGAAGAAGGTCAGGTGGCTGCCAGAGTTCAGGGGAGTAGAAGAGTAGAGGCCTTGGTGCCAAGGGTGCTCGAGAAAACCAGTGAGATCAGCCTTGAGCTACCACGCTAGATTTAACTGCAGAGACAGGAGAAAGCATGGGAGTGGGGACATGGGAGCAGGGACAGAAGAAGATGGGCATTAAGATAACAGCAGGTGGCATAAATCAGAACACTCCTAAAGGGCCCTGCCCTTGCTGTTTCCACTGCCTGAAATGCTCCTCTCCCTGAATTAGGCATGTTTGGCACTTTACCTTCCTGCCCACCTCCTCCATGAAGCCCTCTGTGAGCACGTGGTATGAAATAGCTGCCAGTCTCTCCATCATGCTGTTTCATTTCTCTGCCCAGCACTCATCATCCCGTTATTTTCTTGTTTGTCTCTTTGCTAGTTTACTCTCTGTCTCTCCCAAGGATATAAGCTCTCTGCAAGCAGAGATCTGCCCACCTTGCAAGGCAGAATCTGGAACTGCCTGGTACACAGTAAGTACTCAATAAATATGGCTGAGTGTGTCCACTTGTCCCACTCATCTTTGCACTTCACTACCAAGTAATGCAGCGGCTATGAAGCAGGAAACCCTTAAAGTACTCGCACGTAGTTCATCTCATGCACGTTTTGATATTAAATATATTGGCATTGACATAGATCTCAAATCCTTCCCTGATATACCTGCCAAACATTTCTTTCACTATTCTCCAACAAATTCTCTTAATCATCCCAGACTCCTCACCTTGTCATTCTCAACACAGGCCATGCTCACCTGACTTCTCTGCCTTTACACACAGTGTCCTCAATACTGGCATGCTCTTCTTTGCCCCCCCGATTGAAATCCACCCCGTATTTAAAATTGTAGTTCAAATTTACCTTGAAGTCTTCCTGAATACTCAGCTCCTTCCTTTAATCTTCAAAAGTTGCTATATATATACTATATATAGCTAGTATATATACAAATGGGCTAGTATATATACAAACTATATATATACTAGCCCATTAAATGTTAATACAATTGTTTATAGAGGTTAGTCCTGTTTCCTCAGCTTAATTCCTCAGGTGCAAGAATGGGACCATAGGTTTTCTATTTTCCAAAGCCTTTTTTATTTTATTATTTATTTATTTATTTATTTATTTTTGAGACAGAGTCTCGCTTTGTTGCCCAGGCTAGAGTGAGTGCCATGGCGTCATCCTAGCTCACAGCAACCTCAAACTCCTGGGCTCATGCAATCCTCCTGCCTCAGCCTCGCGAATAGCTGGGACTACAGGCATGCACCACCATGCCCGGCTAATTTTTTCTATATTATATTAGTTGGCCAATTAATTTCTTTCTGTTTATAGTAGAGATGGGATCTCCCTCTTGCTCAGGCTGGTTTCAAACTCCTGACCTGGAGCAATCCGCCCGCCTCGGCCTCCCAGAGTGCTAGGATTATAGGCGTGAGCCACCGCGCCCGGCCTCCAAAGCCTTTTTTAGAACATGGGACTAGAACTCTGGTGAAAAACTCTTTGAAATGACCAGAAACATAGCCATAGTTCTCAGGAGCTCAAAGGCCTAGTTTGCTTCATCCTAAATTCCTGGAGCCTCCTAGAATGTAAGCTCAGTGAGAGTAAGGGACATGTCCTTTACTTTTCTCAAAGTCCTCTACGATCTTGCTGCTGCTTACCTCTCTTCCTTTACATAGAGCCTTCCCCCACTCCACCCCCATTGGCCCACAGCATTCCATGCATACAAATGTTAAGCCTTTCCCTCCAAATGTACTATTCCCTGTACACAGAGCACTTTTCCTGGCCCTCACTCCCACCACAGGGCCCTCTTTATACTTTTTAGGTCTTACTTAAGTGTCACCCCTTTAGAAAGATTTCCTCACCCATGCTGCTGGGATAGGACCCCACTGTCTTTCTTCATCAGTGCACGCCCTGCTTTTTTTTTTTTTTTTTTTTTTTTTTTTTCTTCGCTTGTCTTTGGTTGGCAATTGTTTTTGTTTTTTTTGAGACAGTGTCTCGCTTTGTTGCCTAGGCTAGAGTGAGTGCCGTGGCGTCGCCTAGCTCACAGCAACCTCAAACTCCTGGGCTCAAACAATCCTTCTGCCTCAGCCTCCCGAGTAGCTGGGACTACAGGCATGCGCCCCGGCTAATTTTTTCTATATATATTAGTTGGCCAATTAATTTCTTTCTATTTATAGTAGAGACGGGGTCTCACTCTTGCTCAGGCTGATTTCGAACTCCTGACCTCGAGCAATCCGCCCGCCTCGGCCTCCCAGAGAGCTAGGATTACAGGCGTGAGCCACTGCGCCCGACCCCTGCTTTTTATTATTATTTTAACTTAAGTTTTTTAGATAGGGTCTCACTCTGTCACCCAGGCTAGAGTGCAGTGCTGTGGTGGGATCATAGCTCACTGCAGCCTCGAACTCTTGGGCTCAAGCAATTCTCCTGGCTCAGCCTCCCAAAGTGCTGGGACTACAGACATGAGCCACGGCGCCCGGCCCTTACCATTTGAGTGTGTGAGTGTGTGTGTGAACAATATGACACTTTCCAAACTGGCTGCTGATCCCCTCACGACTGGGCGTTCCTGCATGGTGTCCGGGTTCCACTCTCCATCCTTTGCCCAGGCGACGCTGACCTGTATGGATGGGACCATCGGGCTCCCTTGCCTTTTACAGTCTGGCTCATTTCAGTTAACAGGGAGCCATGGCAGGAGAGGAGAGCAAGAGTGGCGTCTCTTCCAGTAAGCTTGTTGCTGGTGCCTGTGCCCCTAGACCACAGAGCATATCTTCTCTCAAGGTGGCTTCTCTTCTTGACTCTCTCCTTCTGTTCTGGTTTCCCTCCCCAGGCCCCTGCTGCAGCCTAGCAGCTCCTCTGCTGTCAGCAGGCCCGGGTTTCTATACCACCCCTGCCTACCCGGCTAGTAGTCTCCTTGTGAGTCAACTCTCCTCAGATTCGCAGGTGAGTGTGCCCGCCACCTCCTGTCGGGATCCTGAGTGATGCAGGCTCTAAGTAGGGTGACTTTTATTTTCCAGGTGAATTGAAGAAGAGAGAGAGGGACTGAATCTGGTAACGACTCACTTGACATTGAAGGAAGGCTCAGCGACATCAAGAGACCTTGTGCCTTGTGTTGTTCAAATAAAGATACTGAGCAGTTTGAACAGGGAAAAGCAGCAGAAAAACCAGCTTCTCACGCAGTTGCCAGTGCCTGCCAGGCAGTGGCAATCTGTACTGTGTTGTTGTATGAAGAGTGATTTTGTTTCAGCAAAATAACATCAACTGTTAAAGTTAATTAAAGTTGTTAACCTGCCTTTTATTTGCTTTGTGCTGTGTTTGTACATTATTTATATATATATTTGGTTTTATTATAGCATAAGATTTATAATCTACAATCTTATACTCTTTATACCTAGGTTTATGTTTATTACTTTTAAATAATATTAGTATAAAATAATATGGGAAGTTGGTGATTTGCGAGAATTTATTCCCCTTTAAAATGGCTCCCTACATCCCTCAGCTTGAGAAACACTGATCTAGTCCAACGTGTCCTCCACCGCAGAAATGCTTCTATACACAAGTCCCTCGATATCCGTCTGTCAGGAAGGTTTGACATTAAACTGCAGTCAAAAATTTTGGGCCATTGGTCCTAATTTTGCATTCTATAATGACACTTATGAAACGTCCAAGCTTTTCTATGGAACAGTTTTCCATCTCTGATATCCGATAATTCCGACCTTTCCACTCGTGCCTTTAAAAAGCTTACCCCCTCTCTCAAGTCTTAATGTGAAAAACTCCACCCCACAAAGTAGTTCTTGATGTTCTTCCCCTAGCCAAAAGTGAACTCCTCTCACTGGAACTTCCAAAGCACATCACATTCTGCTGTGCATTCTGGTTATTGGTGTACAACTTTCTTTCTCTTATTAGTTTTTGCTTTTGCAAAGAAGGAAGTGTTTTTCATTCATTTGCGCTCTCCTTAGCCCTTACCAGTGTCATACATATGACAGATGTTTAACACATATTGAGTTGGCTGGGTGTGGTGGCTCACACCTGTACTAATCCCAGCACTCTGAGAAACCGGGGCTGGAGGATCGGCTGAGGTCAGGAGTTCAAGACCAGCCTGAGCAAGAGGAGGCCCCATCTCTACAAAAGATAGAAAAATTAGCTGGGCATGGTGGTGCATGCCTGTATTTCCAGCTAATTGGGAGGCTGAGGCAGGAGGATCGCTTCAGCTCAGGAGTTTGAAGTTGCAGTGAGCTATGATGACCCCACTGTACTCTAGTGAGGGTGACAGAGTGAGACTGTCTTAAAAAAAAATTAGTTGAAGGAATCAATGAAAGATATAAGAATATATTACACACACACAACACACACACACTAAGACTGAAAACTAGAAAAGTTCTGCATGAGTGTATAATAATACACATCTGCCCAGTAATTCGAATGTGTGCTCTGTCTGTATCAGGAGCATGGTTCAGGCTGCTGTCCAACAGCCCCATTAAATGCCATCTCTTCATCTGCAACCTTAAACTTCTCTTGTGCCAAGAAAGGCTTCGGGCTAGAGAACATCTTCCATTTGTATAGCACAAAATCCCCTTGGAGCCCTGCCCCCTGTACCACTTCTACTAATGGAGTCTGACATAATCAACTCTGGTGGGGCCTCCTTTTACTCAGTATCAATTGTCAGAGTGGCACTGTTCTGTGATAATGGGGGAAATTTGATAAAAAATAGTTCAAGCAGAATATGCCCTTCAGGAATTTATATAGGGTAAAACAAGGTGTATTCATGCTAAATTGAAATGAAAATATGTAGATAAGAGTAAGCTACCCTACACTTAGGATGCATGTGAAAACATTTAAAAAGTATACCCACAAGAATAAAGGGATAGTCTATCAAGGAGATGGAATGTGGAAAACTGGAACTTCTATTTAGAATAGAGAGGGAGGTGGGTCGAGGTGGCTCACGCCTGTAATCCTAGCACTCTGGGAGGCTGAGGTGGGTGGATTGCTCGAGGTCAGGAGTTCGAAACCAGCCTGAGCAAGAGCGAGACCCCCGTCTCTACTATAAATAGAAAGAAATTAATTGGCCAACTAAAACTATATAGAAAAAATTAGCCGGGCATGGTGGCACATGGCTGTAGTCCCAGCTACCCGGGAGGCTGAGGCAGGAGGATCGCTTGACCCCAGGAGTTTGAGGTTGCTGTGAGCTAGGCTGACGACATGGTACTTACTCTAGCCTGGGCAACAGAGTGAGACTCTGTCTCAAAAAAAAAAAGAATAGAGAGGGAGTCATTGATTATTCATTTAACAAAAGATTTTTAAAATATCTAGTTTCGTGAGTGTTTTTGAATCATCGCAGATTTTTAATGCTGGATAGTTCTTAAAGGTTATCTACTTTAACGCTTATGTTTTACAAGAGAAGAAACAGAGGCCATCTGCTTTTTTCACTCTTATTCCAGGACTCTTGAGCCTTATGGGAGAGAAATCACAGAGCAAAACAGATGGACGTCGTTGCCAAGCAATGGAGTCATTGCCAAGTTGAAGGCCAACCTCAGGGGGGCCCCAGCACTGCTGCAGAGTCAGCAACCTTTCAACTCCCCTTTGCTCGCTGCCCCAGGTCGGCCCCCTTCACATGCTGTCCAACGCATCTTGCTTCCTTCTTTTATCCCCTTTCTCAGACTCATTCTTCACAGCTACCTTTGCCTTCATTCAACAAATATGTACTAAGCACCTGCTATGTCCCAGATGCAGCGGTTATAGCGGCGTATTAGGCCAAGGTCTCTGACCTTATGAAGCTTCCTTCTATTCTTGTTGGGGGCCTGGGGAAGCCAGGCAACACATAAGAGGCAAACAAACACATTTAAAAAAGTTAACAGCCGGGCGTGGTGGCTCACACCTGTAATCCCAGCTCTCTGGGAGGCCGAGGCGGGCGGATTGCTCGAGGTTAGGAGTTCGAAACCAGCCTGAGCAAGAGCAAGACCCCGTCTCTACTATAAATGGAAAGAAATTAATTGGCCAACTAAAAATATATACAAAAATATATACAAAAAAATATATACAAAAAATTAGCCGGAGGCTGAGGCAGGAGGATCGCTTGAGCCTAGGAGTTTGAGGTTGCTATGAGCTAGGCTGACGCCACGGCACTCACTCTAGCCTGGGCAACAAAGTGAGACTCTGTCTCAAAAAAAAAAAAAAGTTAACAGTGAAAGACAATTAAAAAGAGTGATGTGATAGAGGAACTAGTGGGTATTTTACATTAAATGGTCTTAAAATGTCTCTAGGCTGGGGGTGGTGGCATGTGGCTGTAACCCCAGCTGCTTAGGAGGCTGAGGCAAGAGGATCACTTGAGCCCAGGAGTTGGAGACCAGCTTTGGAACATAGTGAAACTCCCTATCAAAAAATAAACAAACAAAAATAAATAAGTTCACTGAGTCTGAGAAGAATAAAAATAAATTTAAAACTCTACATCTAAATAGTGGGTAGTTAAGAATAAAGAGAAAATCCTTGCTATCAGAGAAAAACAGGTGGATTACCTACAAAGGAATGAGACTGATAGTCTCATATGGCCTGTAAGATCATGATTTAGTGATATCATACAAGTCCTGAGGAAAATATCTTTGACCTTATAATTTTATTCTCTATCAACCTCCCATTTAGTATTAAGAGTAAAATGAAGACATTTTTGGACCCTCCAAGGCTGAGATGCCTCAGGATCTATAAACCCTCTCTGAAAGAATGAATAGAGGACATTCTCCAAGAAGAGAAAAATAAACCTTGGAAGATATAATGGAACCAATGTGTGCAAAGAAATTAGCAAAAGTTATTTTGTCTAAATAAGCATTGATTGTGATTTGTTTTGAGGGTTTAAAACTATAATCTGTGGCTAGAAGGAAACTGGGGCTTAGAAAGAAGAAAAGTAGCTCACTTGGAGCCAAAGCTTTTAACCACTTGTTTTGTAGACCTTTGTTCCCCAGTGTCTAGCATAGAACCCAACACAAAACAAGTGTTTAATAATTGCTTGCTGTGGTATGCTTATAATTTCTTGCTGCAATAATTGCTTTCTGTCAGTATGCAACCTTTCCAGAATATTAGCATTTTCATACAGTGAGATTTACCACATCATGAATCCACCGAGGTTGTTGCAGCCATGAGCTGGGACAGGAGCAGCCTGGGAGGGTTTTGCTGCCTGGCTATTCTAGAGACAAGTTTGGATTGTGCTCCTTCCAAGGGCTTCTGGGAAAAGTGCCTCTCTGTCTGGCAGCTCTGCCCTTCGGCCTGAGGCCAAGAACCCTCCGAACAAATAGTCTGCTGCTTAGTGAGAGAGCAGGGGAGGACAGCCACATGTCTGGAGAGCACACACTTCCTGTTGCTGAGTGCCAGATGGGACTTGCTTTCTACTTATTCCAGAACAGGTCTAGATTCTTGACAAACAAATAGACCACCCCCATGTGTAAGCCTCACTTCTTGCCTTATGAAAAAATAAAACAGTAATGAGTCAAGGGTCGACGCTGCAATATCTCCTCACCTCATTTAGTTCTGACACTCCATGCCTGAACCTTCATAGAGAAATAACTACTTGGGAACTAGAGGATGCACTCAAACACCATTTATTCCAGATGGAGAGATGCTTTTCAATGCAAGGCACACACAAAATGAAGTCATCCACTCACCGTTTTCTAATGTTGGGGTGGAATGTGGCCGAGGGGAGAGCAAACTCCACCCTTTATTTCCCAGGAAGAGATCACGGTAATGTTTTAGCAAAAGTGGGGTGAAATCTTGAATACCTCAGCTAATTTCTAAGGCAACTATTGAGTTTACAGAAAAGTTCAGAACCAAGGTAAGACAAACAGAAGACCTGACTTGGTCACTGACTTCCAGTGTGAAAGAGCCTGGTGTTTACCTTTGAGAGGACCCCCCTTTATCTATTCTATTGAGATCACTGTGACTCCACCTTTAAGGTTCTTTCTAATTCTAAAGTTGTGCCCTTTTTGCACCCTTCCTTTTCCTCTCCCTGCTGTGACAATGGGTCCGGTCATCATTTGTGGTGTGTATGTCATGCTCTATAAACCTATATCATGCTCTTGCCCTATAATCCTATCTTTCTCTCCTCAATAAACCTCATTTTTGTGTTTGCCTTAAAATATAAAATAATAAAGTTGTATTATTTGCCATACTTTGGCTGCAATAATTTCCTAGTTTCCCACGGCCATTCCTATTATTCTATTCATTTTTAATTACACAAGTGTTACCTGACTTCGCTCTTGTAGAGCTTCCCACAGTTCCATTGCTACTTTCCAACCACATTCTTGCACCCACCCA